TTAGTTGGGGAGATCACTGGGGTTTATTGGTGGGGGGGCAATACTGGGGGTTCATTGGGGTTTTTTTGGGGGGGGGTGGTCAGTGGGGTTTATTGCGGCGTCACTGGGCCCCCATTGAACGTGGGTGTCGCTCTGCGAACGATCCATGGGCTTTCTCCTGGTTTGACTGCAGAGGACAGAGAGACCGCTCCTGGGCTCTGTGAGAACGAACCATTTCCCTCTTTCTCCCACCCCCTGTAACTTGTTCCTCATTTCCCAACGGCTGGGGTGATCAGGCAGTTCTGGGCGACGAACGGGAGGTGCTTCCTCTCCGCTCCCTCCATCTATCACAGTCACAGAGTTGGCTCCTGTTTCTGTCGATGAGTTTCCGATATACGAATGGCTGGTATCCAAAGCACCATTTCCGTCTGCCCCCCTCCCCGATTCACTGCAGCTCTCAACTCACGCTGATTCGAACGAGGAACGAATACAGCACAGGAACAGCCCCTTTGGCCCTCCAAGCCGGCACTGACACATTTTGCCCTTCCATAACTAAAACTGTCTTCGCTTACAGGATCTGTATTCCTCTCTTCCCTTCCTTATTCATGTATTCTCAAATGCTGTTATTGTGTCTGCTTCCAACACCTCCTCTGGCGACGCGTTCCAGGCACTCACCACCATTTGTGAGAAAAACATGCCTCGCACGTCTCCGTTGAACTTTCCCCTCTCGCACCTTGACCCTGTTGTCCCTTAGTAACTGACCCCTCCACCCCGGGGGGGGAAAAAAAAGCCTCACGCTTTCCACAGTCTTATAAACTTCTGTCGGGGTCACCCCCTCGGCCTCCTGCCTTCCAGTGAAAACAAACCCTGTCTATCCAAACTTTCTTCGGAGCTAAAATCCTCCTCCCCATATCCTGGTAAACCTCTTCTGACCAGCCGCTGACCAGCGCTGTACGCAATATTCCAAATGCGGTCTGAGTAAAGTTCTGTAGCCCATCTTAAAATTTGTCCATCCTCATACTCGATGCCCCTTCCAATTTACTACCTTATCGACCTGCGCTGCCACCTTTAGTGATCTGTGGGCCTGCACACCCAGATCCCTCTGCATATCAATACTCCCGAGGGTTCTGCCATTCCCGGTGTAATTTCCAACCGCGCTTGACCTTCCAAAGTGCACCCGCTGGCATTTGTCCGGATTAAACTCCATCTGCCCATGCCTCCAACTGAGCTATATCCTGCTGTGTCCTCCAACACTTGCTATTCGCAACTCCACCCATCTCTGCGTCGTCCGCAAACTTAATTAGACCAGTTTTCCTCCAAAATCATTTGCGTAGGCCACGAACAGCAGAGATCCCAGCACTGATCCCTGTGGAATACCTACTAGATACAGCCCTCCATCCCGAAAAGCATCCTTCCACCTCTACCCTCTGTCTCCTGGGACTAAGCCAGTTCTGTAACCATCTTCCCAGCTCGCCCTGATGCCTTTTGTAATAGTCTGCCGTGAGGGACCTTGTCAAAGGCTTTAATGAGGTGCAACATTGACTGCTTTAACCCTCAATCATTCATCTTCGTCACCGCCTCAGAAAACTCGATCAAATTAGCGAGGAGCGACTTTCCCTGCATAAAGCCATGCTATCGCCAAGAAGTCCTTTTGCTTCTAAATGCCCCGAGAATCTTTCCCAATCATTTCCCTGTAAGACTCACAGGCCTGTAATTTCCAGGATTATCCCTGCTACCCTTCTTAAACAAATGGGACAACATTGGCTGCTCTCCAGTCCTCTGGGACCTCAGAAGGAGGCCAAAGAGGACACAAAGATGTCTATCCATGCTCCAGCAATTTGTTCCCTTGCCTCCCTCAGTATTCTGGGATTGATCCCATCAAGACCTGGGGATTTAGCTACTTTTTAAAAAAAAGACACACACCTCTTCCTTTTCAATAGCGACTTGGCTTAGAAACTCGACCCTCCCTTCCCCGAGATCACCAACTCCTTCCCTTCGGTGAATACTGACACAAAATAATCAATCAGGACCTCACCTACCTCTTCTGGCTCCGCACATAGATCTCCCCCCTACCCACTTTGTCCTTGAGCGGGCCAACCCTTTCCCTGGCTCCCCTCTTGCATTTTATATACATAGCCTTGGGATTCTCCGTACTCCTGTTTGCCAGCGACCTTTCAGCCCTTCTGAGGAAGGGTCACCGGACCCGAAACATTAACACTGTTTTCTCCTCCACAGATGCTGCCGGAGCTGCTGAGGTTTTCCAGCAACTTTGTTTTTGTTCCTGACTTAGCGCATCCGCAGTTCTTTCGGTTTTTATTAGAGGCGTAGAGAGAGGGACAGGTTTGGAATCTTTAGAACATTATTTTAATAGGAACGCGAGGATGAGCAGAACTCACTACTTTACAAAGAGCCTCCGGGGGTAACATTTCCGGCTCTCGGTTCACTGCTGGCTGGGGTGCAGTGATGGCAGGCAGTGTTCCAGAGTATCCCTGGAGACCTCTGTACCTGCCCCTCTACTCTTCCCCCTCTGTCGGGGTGACAGGGAGACAGTTTAACACGTTCTGCCACCCCTCCGTCACAACCCCCCCCCCCACCTCACACGGATACACATTCAAAATGACATTCACCCAATAAATTACAAGAAATATCGCGCGCATCCCCGACCCCAGCCCTGATATAATACATATGGCCATTAAGTGACACAGATATCAAACAGCAGGAGACTACAGGTCATGGGACCAACTCTCTCAGGTCATCGAGGGTAAGCAGACAGGGGAAGGGGGGGGTCGGGCGGGCGAAGAGAGAGAGCGCATGGGGTCAGAGAGAGAGAGACAGCGAGAGAAAGAAAGAGCTGCAGGTGAGAGCGAAAGGGTGACATAGGGGTTGGGAGTGGGGGGGGGGGGGGGGGGGGGAGGGGGAGGGGGGGGGAAGAGAGAGACAGGAAGGTGAGAGAGACGGATGGGAAGAGAGAGAGTGCGAGAGCATGTGGGGGAAGAGACAGTGACGAGGGTGAGAGAGACAGCAACATGAAGGTACAGAGATAGAGGGGGGAAGAGGGAGAGGGGAAGAGAGAGGGAGTGAGTGGGGGGGGGGGGGGGGGGGGGGGAGGGGGGGGGGTGTCCACATTCGCTCGCTGACCGTGACAGAGCATGTAAACCTTTCACCAGTCTCAAGGCAACACGTCACCCGCCCCCCCACAGGCTGCGAGGGTCTTCACAGGGAGAGCGAGATGCAGCATCACTGCTCGGGCTGGCTGGGTTGTGAGAATCGACCGAGCGGTTTCGAAACTACCAGAGCTGGGTCTCCCTGATCTCCGAGATAATCTGACTTGCTCTCTGCAGTGCCTGTTGAGGGGGAGGGGGAGAGCGAGAGGTCAACCCACAGGAAATCTGACTGACGGTAAGGGGCTGGGGGAAGGAGGCCACAGGCAGTGGGGGAGACTTCATTCCTTCACTGTGACGGATACTGACAAATACTGAGGGGCGCGCCGTCGAAGGGCGAGGGGAGCGGGCACCGTCGGAGGCCGAGGGGAGCGGGCGCTAGAGGCCGAGGGGCGCTGTCAGAGGGTCGGCGCCGAGGGGAGCGGGTGCCGTTGGAGGCCGAGGGGAGCGGGCGCTAGAGGCCGAGGGGCGCCGTCGGAGGGTCGGCGCCGAGGGGAGCGGGCGCCGCCGGAGGGCGAGGGGAGCGGGCGCCGTAAGCTGCTCCCCTCCATGCCTCGCCTCACCTTGAGCATGTTGGCAGCCTCAGTGCGCTGAGCTGCCATGTTTTCTGACTCGGTCAGGAGCCGATCGAGCAACTGCGATTTGTAGAGCTTCCTGACCAGCTCGCTCTGTAAGTTATCCTTCACGTAATTCACCAGGAAGTGCATCACCGTCTTGGGCACACTGTCGGGACAGAGAGAGAGAGAGAGAGAAAATCCACCTCACACCGCTGTTCAAACTGCCTGTAGCTGGGGTGGCAGACAACCTGGGTCAGGCTGACCGCTCCCCTCGTCCTGGGTTTCGCCGAACCCCTCCTTCTCTCTCTCTCTCACACTGACCTGTCCTGGATGGTCTTCCGTACGATGAGGAAGTAAGATTTGATCAGCCTCTGAATAACCTCACAGTCTCGCTGCTCCCTCAGGCTCAGCTTGCGTGAGACGGGAACGGGCTGTGGAGATGGAAAGGGGATTGGGGTGTGGGGGGGGGGGGGGGGGAGGGTGTTAAAATATTTCTTAGAACGAAAAGAAAACCAGGCCGTTAGTAAACATAGAGCTACCCTTGGCGTAGGGGAAAATCCCTCGCCCTGCCACCAACCCCCACCCCCTTCCCGAATCCCGGCGCTAGGCTCCACATTCCCGGAACCGTAAACAGGAACTGACCGCATCCAGAAGGTTCACAACGTGTCCTTTGTGGCATCCGGAGAAGCTGCTCCCGGAGGGATTTCTCGGCTTCTCTTCCGACGGCCGATCTTCCACCTTTTCCGTTTTCCACTTGCGCGCGCCATCCGGGGGGGCTCCGGGCTGTCAGCAGGGGGGTGGGGGGGGGGGGGGGCGGTGGTGGGGAAGGTGAACGGAAACGGGTCAGCCTCGCAGATCGCAAGGGCGCGCTCCGGCAAACGACAGGTACCGACGGGACGGGGGGGGATGGAGAGGGGGTCCGTGTCTGTGTCTCCCACCACCACCCCTCCACGCGGTGACGGGGCGGGGGTCACGGAGATAGTTGGGGGGGGGGGGGGTGGGGATACGTACCTGGGAGCTGTTGACAGAGGCTGACACCATGGCAGCATCGCTGAAGTCTGGGTGCTTGGTGTTAATGTATGCCAACTCTATGGCCACCAGATTGTGAACCTGGGAGGGGAACAGAACGGCGGGGGGTGGTTTAAACTGGTGTCCACACACACACACAGATAGACACACATTCGCGCGCGCACAGATTCGCGCGCACACAGGGACATATAGACACAGATTCGCGCGCACACAGGGACATATAGACACAGATTCGCGCGCACACAGGGACATATAGACACAGATTCGCGCGCACACAGATTCGCGTGCACGCACGCACCCACACACAGATTCGCGTGCACGCACGCACCCACACACAGATTCGCGTGCACGCACGCACCCACACACAGATTCGCGTGCACGCACGCACCCACACACAGATTCGCGTGCACGCACCCACACACACGCACACAAACACAAACACACACACACAAAAGACACACACGACCAGATTAATTTAAGACATGTGGTCAGTACAGACGAGTCGGACCGAAGGGTCTGTTTCCGTGCTGCACAGCTCCATGACTCTATGACTAACTGCTCAGTGTCCTTCAGCTCCAGTGCGCGTGGGGGCCAAACAAAGCTGAATTTCAGAGGGAGGGGGGTGAGCCCCACACATCAAGGCTGCGCTCAACCAAGCGTGGCATCGAGAAGCCCCCTAGCAAAACTGGAATCAACAGCTGGTGTGGAGGGTAAAAGGTTACGCCTGCTCGAGGTCACCCGTACTTCCAAAGCAGATGGAGCCCCTCCGAGCTGGGTACTCTCCTCAATCCCGCCGCGTCTGACCCCCTTAACGTCCCCTGCCATCAGAAATCCACTGCTGCCTCAAATAAGCGGGGGGAAGGGGCCCAGTTTCTGGGGAAGAATTCCACACGCTGAGGAGAGACATCGTACCTCCGTCTCACGGCGTTTTTTTTCCCCTTCACAAACCATGCCCCCCACCAAAGCCTGGGGAAAGGCCCTTCGAGTCTGAGTCGGTCAGCAACGACCACCTCACCATCCCTCACCCCATTTCCCCCCCCGGCTCTCAACCCACGTCACAAGTGCCCCTCAAAATCCTTCTCCAGTGTGGTGAGGGTTCTGCCTCTCCCCACCCTTACAGGCAGTGACTTCCAGATTCCCCACCACCCTCTGGCTGAACGCATCCTCACTCCCTCCCTCTGAACCTCCCGCCCGCACCCCTCCACCCTCAATCTACGCCCCTATGATCCCTCCATCAAGGGAGGTTGCGGGGTGGGGGAGTTCCTTCCTGCTTCCCCTATCCACGTCCCTCATCGTTCTCTCCATCTCAATCCCCTCTGCTCCGAGGAAAACAACCCCAGTCTCTCACCAAACTCTCCAGACGCAAGAGAGAACACCCCCCCACCTCCCCCTGCAGGTTCCCCTCCGAGACCCTCCAAACACACCATCCCTTCAGTGTCACTGGAACTCCAGTTGGGGGGAGGGGGTTACACTGGAGGGTGTCCCACTGGGGTGTGGGGAAATGCAGCGACTGAAGGTGGCGGGGGCTCACTCCTGCCTTCTCAGGTTGGGGGGGGGGGGGGCAATTAGGGACGGAAAGGGGGGACAGACCCTGCGAATGAGTTCAACGACAGACGTCAGCGTGAAGCTGGCTTACCATTTCATTGGTGATGGGCAACCGCTTGTGGAACAAACCAGTTACCACCTCTACAATGGCATCGTGCAGCTTTGGAAAACGCAGCAGCTCCTGGGGAAGGAGAGAGGGGTGGGTAAAGAGAGAGAGAGAGAGAGAGAATAAAATCCCGTCCGGGTGCTACGGCGTTTGAGAAAAGGATAACAGAGCAAAATTAAGACGGCAGCAGTGAACCATTCGTAGTAAATAGGGGGTCACTATGAAACAGTGAACACAAGGGCTCAGCAGTGCAGTCGGGGGCGGGGGCAAGACTGTAAAAAGGAGGGTACCTGGTCACAACTCCCCCACCCAAGCGTATATACACACACATGCACATGCACCGCACACCATGCGCTCTCACACGCACACCGCGCCATGCCCCCCTCACGCGCGCACACCGCGCCATGCC